CAACAAAAATATATTTGAATGCAAATATGTGATCAATACTACTAAAACAAAAGATAAAACATGTTAGCTCATGCTAACCTGGTGTTTACTTAAATAATCGAACTTCTTTCTTTGATCTTTCTTTCAAATCTTTCAGAATTACCTTTAAATAATTTGAAAACTACATAGTAATGAGAATTAGAAAAAATATATACCTGAATAGTTCAGTTGTACAAGTTTTTGTGAAATTCAGTATGAACTATATAGAGTATTTTTTCTTGTTTACATCAATATGGTCTTTTCATTTGTCCTGATGTGCAAACATAATAATAAATAATAAAATTCACAATTTCTTATTTTTACAATGTCAACTCCACTGGTCATAAAGGTTTCTGAAAATGCCTTGAAAAGGCCCTCGGACCACCAGTTGAAAATCACAGTTGTTGCTTGTTTTGCGGCTCTGAACWCATTTTATTAGAGAGACAAGGAGCAGAAATGGCTCCTTAAAGGTTGCAGACCCCTGACCTGGGGGTACCAGAAGCTCAAAACAAGTGTCAGTAGCAAAATTAACTGTTTGGCAGAAAAAGTCTGATCAGGTCAATTTTTCATGTGTGCAGCTCTGCTGCTCAGCCCACAAATGCATGTTCCTTTCAAATGTGGCAGCGTTTAAAAGGGAAATTAACAGGCTTTGTAACAGTATAAGTTTTATTGCCAAGAAGCATTGTTACAACAAAGAAACAATCAAACAAACACAAATTGCTTTACTTTTTGTACTGCGTTTATATAAAGAAGTTGAAGGAGGATTAAGTTGGTCATTCAGCTGAAAATTAGTTGATGACTAAGACTAATGAGTTTCCAAAGTCAACAACCTTTAACTTTTTATATGTGTGCCATATAGTTACTTAGTTGTAGGTAGACAAACATGCTCAAACAAATGCCCACATGTGAGGCAGTAATTACAGTTTAGGACACATCCCACAGCCAATGGTTCACCTCAGCCCTGAACAGTGGAGTTATTCTGGATCTCTGAGGACAAAAAAAGGGTTCCATGCAGAGGCCAGCGTTAGCTACAAGGCTAAGAACATTAATTACTCATAGGGGCGACACAAGAGTGCAGATTAGACTGTAATTGGTGGGTTTGCCTGCAAACTCCATGAATCAGCGAGCACCTCTGCTGACCARTGCATCAGCAGCTGATTACAAGGATGGGCTTCGTTTGCTCCGAGTGCACCGCAAATGACCTCCTGCTGATAAAAATGCAAGCCRTTTGTTTTGCCCTCTTGTCAAAGTAATTATGTGCCGGGTGCAGGCTGTATGAATTTCGAGGTTGTAAAATGGAGCTTGTGCATTAAAAGACTAGAGGAGAGAATGGTGAGCAGCGGGGGATGGGAGCRCACCGGCACATCATGTTTGCGTACTGTGACCTGGAATTGGCCTTGGCGATGTGTGTTTGCAGAGAGCTCAGTGTTACTGATCTGCAGCTAGCGATGACAGCGTTTGTCTGCATAAAAGAGCCGCTCTCTGCGTTTAATGCAGGACGCCCATTCAGAGTGTGACTGTTTTCAGCGCTTTGATCCTTTCTCAGTTGGTTCTTAAATGTTGATTACATGCTTGACTTTTTTTTAGGTGCTGTCAAAATCAGTCCAGAACTTTCATTTTCAGTTGACATTCCCTTTCATTATCACCTCTCATACCGGATGGATTATCTGGTTTTACAGAGGTGGTTTTGTAAAACTGTGGTGGGAAAAATAGCAGCAATTTGGAAGTTTTTTTTTACATAACAGTTATTTCCCAGYGTTGCGTAATGTGTCACAGATGATTTCCGAGAAAAAAAAAAAGCCTCAATTGAAATTTTGCCAACCACTCGCACACACACATCGATATGGAGAACACTGAAGAACACTCCTGCCAGCACTTGCACACGCGCCTCCCACCTTTTGCCATGGAGTTTCCCAGGCAGACTTCACGCACAGCCCACCCTAAAATGGGAGGGGGGAGAGGCCAAAACAAACACTGCCTCCAGATTTTAAAATGTGTCAGTTCATGGGTTTAAAACCYRACCAAMATATTTAMAAAGRCGTGCAGCTAATTTGACAAAAGCGCTAGATTTGTTATCTGTCTTCAATATATAGAGACATCAAAGAGTCATAATTCAGCTGCTGGGATCCCGACAAGAAACTCGCCTGCAGGAGCGTTTTCTGTCCAAACCACCGCATAGATCCCGTCAGATCGTTTCCACGTTCGCTGACAGACAGAGCAGCATGTCAGAGGAGAGGAAACCAGAGAGCRTGTCTCTGAGTCCTGTGAGCATCGCAGCGAACCCTGAGCTGCTGTGTATCTTCGGTACGGGGGACTTGGGGCGCTCCCTGGGTCAGCGCTTGCTCCAGTCTGGCTACAGGTTGGTGTACGGCAGCAGGAGACCYCACAGCTGTGGCCCCCTGCCTCCAGGAGCTCAGGTACTCTGCATGATGTCATGTCTGAGCTGAAGAGGAAAAGGTTTTATTTAGTTTGGATTTTGAGGATATTATTGTTATTGCCACTGAAAAGCTGATATTTGACAAGAGGGTCGTATTTAAAATGAATGTCAAGCTTTTAGCTGAAAAGATCATAAGTGTACTGCAAAGTTGTAGGTAATTAAGTACAAATACTTTGTTACTGTACTTAAGTAGAATTTTTGAGTATCTGTACTTTACTTGAGTCATTATTTTCAGCCTACTTTTTATTTCTACTTCTTACATTTTTAAAAAAGACAAGAAGTAGAAAGTTGTTACTATTATTTCATTTTTGCTTGTTTTCATC